AGTGGGTGTGTCAGATATAGGGAGACATACAAAATGTGCAGTGCTGGGGGTACTTCATGGAGCGGTTTGAGAACCACTGATATAGGGTATAGGGTAGAGTGGGGGAAAACGCCCCCACTCCCCTAAGGACTGTGTGAAACAAAAGTTAAAGGTGTTCAGAAAAGTTATCATAGTTTTAGTGAAAATTACTTAAATTATAAACAAAGCATGAAAAATGTCCAGAGTTTTCATGTTATTAGATTTTTAACAAAAATTTAATTTGTTCCAAGGGGGCGTTTTACCCCCCAGTAAAATGCCCCCCAGTCTGAAAAAAGCAATTTGCTTTAAACATTTACAGCGAAATCAGAGTAGCCTAATGTACAGACAGTTTTTGCTTAAAATTAAAAAGAATATAATCATATGAATTACAAAATTATAATAGCCTGTTTGAAACATTTTGTTAGCGGATGCTAACTGTCTAGCTAGCTAGCTACCTGATGCTAACTTGAAGTAATTTTTAAATATAAAATCCAAATATTTTTATTCAACCAACTGTTTAGAATATATTTGATGGAAAAACAAAGGATTTGATGTTCAGAACAGAATAACTACAGTAATTGCTCATTGCCCACTGGGGGCGCTTTAACCCACAGACTTGAAATTATGTAATTCTGAAAATATAATTATATTTTTATTAAATAACACATATTCCCTATCTACAGACCCTACTGTTCTCATATCATATATCTGTGATGTTCTACAAAACAACAAGCTTTAAAACACTTTTTTTTCTTACTGCTGAAAATTAGATCATTTAGGCTACTGTGAAATCCGTGTTCTCTCCAGTACATCACCAGTGTTAGCTTCATGGTGAAAACGTCTACATCAGTTTTACATGCAGTCTACATGCTGTTCAGTTGCTTTGACACAATCTGTATTGTTAAAAGCGCTATATAAATAAAGGTGACTTGACTTGACATCACTCGCGTCAACGTAGTCCATAGTTACAATAAAAATTTATCTTGACTTTATCTTGTGGTTATTTTGGGATTTATTCATTAATGTGTGATATATTTTTTCCAAGCAGATTATGAAAACTTAAATACAAGGAGCTATAAAAGATTTTCAGAATTTTTACAGCTCTTCTGCTTTAAGTTTAGTCCATCTACAAATGTTAAATCTTCAAATAAAATGTTAAGGTTACCACTTCATCTGTCTGAAGGACAAAAAAATGCAGAAATTGATTTATAGTTATTTTCAAAGCTTTCAATGTACTCTTATTATAAAATAACTTAATTACTTAGTTTTTTTTATTCTAGCATGCAAGTTTTTGTTAAAAACTAACCAAAATGAAAGATAATTTGTTTATAATCTCTGCACAGAAGAGACTGTCTCGGTTACGTATGTAACCCACCTTCCCTGAAGGAGGAAACGGAGACGTCATGTCGGTGACCGACGAATTGGGATCTCGCTTAGAGAGACCAATCCACTTCGAGTGTAAACTAAACGAGCCAATGCACATTTGTGACCGACGAATTGGGATCCCTACCATAGCGCCATGGATGCTGACCCTTCCAGTGTCCTGTGCGAGCCTCCTGCGCCCCTTTTTGGTGTAACATATGGGATCCACTTAGGTCTCTACATATAAAACCCAACCCTCTACTGGTTCTCATGAATTCATTGAGTGAGGGCCTGGCCAAGGGGATGGAGGAGCATGACAGGGTCTACAGTACGGACACTCTGGAGCAGTTTTAGCAAGCCGACACTAAACCGGGACTAGAGACAGGTCCCAAGAAGGTATAGAGGGGGGTCGGAGAGGATTTAACCTTCTCGCCCTCCTAAAGAACCTGATGACCAGGTCATGCTTCCCTACCGACTTCCCTTCCACGGGGTCATGG